CCCCGGGGAGCGGGCCTAAGCCAGCAGGTGGTCATCCCCTGAGGGGTCCCAGACTGCGAGAGGGCACAGGCCGGGCTGAGGGACCCCCCTCCCCCCCGAGTGCACAAATTTTTGTGCACTGGGCCTCTAGTATATATATATAAAAGCCTAAGTGACCATTCGACCAGTAGCTATGACATGCACTGACCTCCAGCGGGCAGATGCTCAATGCCCAGGCATGGAAACATGGGACAGACTGATGAATCTCAGAGGGAAGGGGGGAGGGGCGATGGCTGGAAGAGATTAATCAAAGATCTTATACGCATACAAAGGCCCAGTGCACAGATTCTTGCACCAGTTGGGTCCCTTGGCCCGACCTGCAGGGATCCAGCTGAAACTGGCAGTCCGACATCCCCCAAGGGGTCCCGGATTGCGAGAGGGCACAGGCCAGCCTGATGGACACCACCGGTGCACGAATCTGTACCGGACCTCTAGTTATTAATAATAATAATAATAATAATAATAAAGAATAAGTTACTTTTGAAGAATAAGTTATACCTTAAAGAGTAAAAAATAATTACCTTACAATTGTGGGGTCCTCCGTATGTATCTGTGCTTTATATACATTATTTTTCTTATCTTCACAGCAACCCCAAGAAGTAGATATTAATGTTCCCATTTTGTGGATGAGGACATTGATGCTTAGTATTTTGCCCAAGATGCCACCTCAAACCCAGGCTATCTTGCTTCAGGCATTGCACCATTGATACCCTGAATCTCACCTGACAAGATAAGAGGCTTGGTAGGGTGTTGCTGATGAGAGTAGCTCCAAGTATGTGATGCAGCCAAAAGTGAAGCTACAGAGATAAGTAAGGGCAACCTCAGGAATAGTATTTCCTTAGATAATAGAAAGATCTCAAGGATTTTGGTAAAGGGAAGCGGAGACAAGGAAGAGAGGCTTCAAACTCTGGCACTGTCTGAGTTTATGGGGCCAAGAAGCTTTGAAAGTTCATAGTTCAATACACACCACAGATCTTGGTGACTTCTTGGTGTACAAGAGCATTGCAGTAGCATTTACTTCCAATGGAAAATAATTTTACTAAAGACAGATTTACATTGAACCGCACACCAGTAAGTTCCAGTACCAAAGAACATTGTTACGGTATAAGAATCCCCATCCTAAACAGCACCATAGCCTATACCAGAGGCGATATTAGAGAAAGACCCCAGTGCTGTTAAAGTCCCCACCCCAAAGCCTTTCCTATGGACTTAGGATGGTAACAGCTGTTGGTAGTTGTTGAGTATGTCTCTGCTTGAAACCTTGTGCCGAAATTTGTTATTTCATTGGATCCTCACAAGTACCCCAGGAGGAAGGGAATATTATGCTCATATTATAGATAAAGACACTAAGGTTCAAGTTTAATAACTTGCCCAAGGTCACACTGTTAATCAATCACTAGGGCTGATTTTTGAATCCAGGACTAATTGACTGCAGGGCCTATATAGTGGCAGCTACCCCACCCTGTCCCCCATGAGGAAGGAATTAGATATTGCAATGGTCTCATCATGTTCCTGACAATCGATTTTCTCTCTCACCAGGAATTATTTGACATGTATTAATATAAAATTGTTTGTTGAGATTTTGATTCTTTTACCTCCTCTGCTTTCTGATGGGTAGTTCTAGAGAAAATATAAAATGAGAGGACTGTGTGTGCACGCATGTGTGTGTATATGTGCACATTAAATATGCCTGCACTTGCTATTGTGAAATCACACACTGAAAAGAGATGGTTTGTGATGGATGGTACATCTTAGAGATAGACATGGTCAAATCCCCATCTTTTCACTTACTGGACATATGATTTAGAGCAGTGGTTCTCAATCTTCCTAATGCCGCAACCCTTTAATTCAGTTCCTCATGTTGTGGTGACCCCCAATTTCATTGTTACAAATTGAACATAATTAAGCATAGTGATTAATCACAAAAACAATATGTAATTATATATGTGTTTTCCGATGGTCTTAGGCGACCCCTGTGAAAGGGTCGTTCGACCCCCAAAGGGGTCACGACCCACAGGTTGAGAACCGCTGATTTAGAGCAAGTCATCTGGCCTCCAATGTATCAGTCTCATCACCTTAAAATGGGATAATAAGATACAAGACAATTGCCATTAAGCTTAACTAAGGAAATTTATATATAGTAGCTGGTACAGCGCTGAGTGCTCAGTAATTGTTCATTCCTCTTCTAACCTGTCTCTTCTTCCATAATCCATAATTCTATTTCTGTATATAAAAAGAATCAAAATCAATGTATATGCCAGATTTCTTGTGGTGTGTTCATATCCTAGAGAAAGAGCCACATGGCACTGCTGCTGGGCAGGGTCATTGGTTTCTCTCCTTTCTGTGGAAGGGAACTCTAAATTTCACAGAATTCATTATGCTGTAGGGATGCTAGAAGGCATGCTTTTCTATAATCCCTAAGTCTAGCTGACCCACAGGTGCTTCCAGCCTCCTGTCTCTAATATCTATGAATGTATCATCTCACTATGCAGAAAGGAAATACTCATATCCTAGAGAAAGAGCCACATGGCACTGCTGCTGGGCAGGGTCATTGGTTTCTCTCCTTTCTGTGGAAGGGAACTCTAAATTTCACAGAATTCATTATGCTGTAGGGATGCTAGAAGGCATGCTTTTCTATAATCCCTAAGTCTAGCTGACCCACAGGTGCTTTCAGCCTCCTTTCTCTAATATCTATGAATTTATCATCTCACTATGCAGAAAGGAAATACTTGACTTTTGATTGATCTCAGCATCAACCATCCTACAGGTATTCTACAACTTCCGTAACAGTCCTGGGCATCTTTCCCCCTAGATCCCAGCTCTTCAATCCAGATCTTCTGACTCTAAAGAGTGTGGACTTTGGTTGCTATAGGAGTAAATTAATCAGTGAATTACCTTACTCTAGGGGCTTTGCAAAGCTTAGATGATACTCTTCACCATTTGGTGTAAATTTCATTTGTTGACCATTTATTTAAATGCACCAAATTTACCTCAGACTAACAGCATAGACCAGAAAGCAAGTGCACATTCTGGTTCTTCTGGCTGAATCATCCGTAAGTTTAATGTAATAAGATAGGACGGAGCCATTGAGACTTGGCTCCTGTCACCGAAACGCATGCTGTGCATAGGCGGGCCCAGCAGAGGCTGACTTCATACCTGGTGGGCACTTGCCTATAATTACATTCGGTGTTTCTTACTCACCTGCTCTCTGCAGAGCTGTACAAATGTTCTCTTAAAGGGCTTGGCCCCACCCTTATCCTAATTCGAACTTTTCTTTTTCAGCCACATAAATAGAAGAACACAGTTTGAAAACCCTGTCCTGGAAGCAAAAAGGAAGCTACAGCAGCATAACATGCCCCACACGGACCTTGGAACCAAGCCCCTGCAGGCCCCAGGTTTCCGAGGTTGGTACCTGCCACCATGCAATGTTTCAAAGGGAAAAAATTGTCCATCCAACTGCCTGCTCTTCCAACACACATGCCTTTGCTTGGACCGTTTCAAATAATCGATCTGCTTTTCCCAAACCCCTCTATTAGCTTTAGCTGGGTATTTGCTGTTTCTAAACATATTTAGCAACCACAGATTCAGTTAAAACCCCGGGGGAGTACGTTACAGGAATTTACAGCAGGTTGCCAGGTGGCGATTGATGGGTTTGACAATGGTACTTTAAACTGCAGAGATACTTAGAGAATCGTAAGTTTGTCCTCAAAACACCAAGCACCAGAATGAGGCTTGTTCTCCTTTGTGGCAGTAGACAACTCCTCATCGACAATACCTAGGCCCAAATCCGGCCGCCCCCGCCCTGCCCCGGGGAGGTGGCGCAGCGTGAGTGACTTGTACTATTATCCGCACAACCACGCCTGGAGGCCCTGGCCCTGGCCGATCGGTATGTCTGGGGCTGCTTTGTGCACCTGACTACACCATAGAGCCACGCACTGGGCTGAGATGCTGCACAAACCTTTCACGTCTTCGTGGGCTCTCTTTCTCATCACAAAAGCAAGGAGGCTTTTGTATGCGGGGGCCTAGGTTGCCTGCTGATGATCTTCACACCATACACTACAGCACACCTGCCGTGAATGTAAAGGTCTCCAGCTGTAAACGTTCCTTTCAAAAAGGAAACCTCAGTGACAAGATTACATATGTGTGTTTTTATTTTTAAAGAAGCTTTCTCTATTTTTCACAAAGATATCTGTGATGTGTAATAGACCAAGTAAAATTCAAATATAACTCATTATTTTGTAGTTTGTCCATTACATATCACCAAAAATGTAACAACAGCAAAAGTATCATAGAAAATACATAACTGAGTTACCATGTATAGTTTTGCTGATCCAACTATCAAATCATGTCAACCAAACTATAACAACTAGTACATATCATACTTGATTGTGATAGCATTGAAAATATATTAATTCAGCTTCCTAGTGTGACTATTATTTTTAAAGCATTTAATATATTATTAGGAAAATATTTATTACAGATCATAGCTGCAAAAGCATATTATATAACAAATTAATGGTCAAACCTATAAGAGTGGATTCAAGTTCTGTTCTGATTATTTACGTATATGATTTGAATGTGTCAACATATTGTTACAAAATGTGTTACCTTTACATTCATAATTTTATCCAGAAATATTGGCTTGCCTTTTGCTCACATTTTCGAGAATCCTAAAACACTATCAGGCCAGTAGAAATTAATTTATCTGCTTATCTTTACAGCATCTCATTAGCATAAATTAACTCAGTCCCACATCCAGGTACTTTTTCTAAACAATTTAGATGTTGTGACTTGGTGGCAACATTCCACAGCTTCTATTCTTTTTAAACCAAAATAATCCATTTCGGTTTCAAGGTTTTGTGCAGGTCCAGCCACTTACAGTCTCCTACCTGGACACTTTTAGAGCAAGAGGAACGTACCCAGAAACCTCTGGGCTGGGCTCCTCTTTATCCGTTTAGAGCAAGAGGAACGTACCCAGAAACCTCTGGGCTCCTCTTTATCCACTGATGGCATGTTGATTCAACCCTTTTTAAGCACAAGAAGGGCTACTTTAGTGAATGAAAACATTGACTTCACAACAAAAAATCTCTCTCCAAATCAAGCAGCTTTTCTACCTTTCCCTGGATGCTTGGACTGCTCTATGTTTGGAGGCAGTACTGCGAGCTTTGCCCCTCCAGCACCTCCCCGCTGCTTGCACTTACTGTGGGAGACCCCACATTTATCCCGGGATGGCTGCTCAGCAGCTCGCTTTCCCCGTGTGAGAACTTGCCTTAACACGCTTTTTCTTTTTTAACTTATATTGGCCAACGTAGAAAAGCCACTCTTCACCCGGGATGCATCCCAGTTGAAGGGAACATTCCTCAGCACCACCCTAAAAAAGAGCAACATGGGATTTGGATTTACCATCATTGGTGGAGATGAGCCCGATGAGTTTCTGCAGGTGAAAAGTGTGATTCCGGATGGGCCCGCAGCACAGGATGGGAAAATGGAGACAGGTAAGTTCCTAAGTGCTGTTTGAGAACATTGTTTTGCAACATCTTTTTTTCTACGGCAAAATATGAGGAGCTTCTTTCTGTGTTCTTAATTTGAGGGTCAAAGGTCACTTAACTTGAGGAAAACCACAAATTGTTTTTCCTAATTTTAAGAGGATCACATTGAAGTATTTTGGAAACAGCTTGAAATGTCATTTTGGCCACATTTTTCAGACTGCCCCTTCTCTTTGATGGATTCAGTGGACTCTTGAGATTGACACTTTTCTAATTTAATTCTAGAGTTTCTTCTTAGGGATGTGATTAACATTTCATACTTTTCTAGCTTATATTCAGCCATTGATATTTTTAATATGTATTAATCTTGTAGTATTCTCATGCTGAATTGCCCAGGTTATATATTTAAATATTCATGCTTATCTCATAGAAAAAAAAATTTTAAGTGGTATTCATCTTTCTATGTCCCCATATGCTTTAATATATAGATTTTTTTCTCTAGTCCTTATGAATTAATTTTCATATGCAGTTACTTGGATGTCTATCAAATTATATTCAAAATTAATTTAGCATGGAAATGCAGAGGCAAATTGCTAAGGCTAAAAATTATAAAATATGAAAGGTGCACAGAGGTCAAGAAAAAAGTAATGAACTAAGTCTGATTTTGCATTCTAATTTTAAATTCTTCTACCTATCCCATGACCTTGGATTAGTCCCATAGTCTATAAATACTTATGCAGGAAAAAAAGAAGAAATCAAATTTGATCTTGTGTATTTAAAATACTGATTTGAGAATTGTGTAGTGTTGTTTTTGAAATGCTTTAGAGTATTATGAAGTGTAGTAACTATACTCCAAAGAACTATATCACCATTTCACATTTTTCACAAGATTGATTTTATTTATTATATATACTTGTGAAAGTCAATGGGTTCTCGTAGATACACAAAGCAGAGAATTACTTTTGAGGAAAAGTTATGTCTTTTGTATGGTCTATAGATTTATAAATTGTGATTCCATAGATTTTAAAGGGCTTTGTGTATGAAGAAACAACATAAAATTGAGATATTCATCTGGAATTTTTATTTTCAAAAATGACCGGTGCTTCATTGCCAATTCCTAAGTGGTTTCTATAGAAATTGTTTCTTTTCAGGGTCACCTAATGAGTACATTTGTCACTCCCACTCACTAGTGAGTTATAATACATTTAATAGAGGCTTTATCTCCTGAAAAGTTGAGTGAAGTTTCAAAACTAACTAGTGTTTTCAAGCACTACTGTTGTGAAAAATTGTGCACATAATTTTCTGCAAGAGTGAGCTAGAGAGTGTCCACCTCTACTGATTCATCTGGTGCTATTTCACTAAATAGCCACACCTTTATGTTGCCAAAAAATCACAGAGAAACATCGAATGACTCAACGAAAAATCATTCTCATGCCCACGATTAGAAAAAGAGGAAACTATAGAAACAATGTCATCTTAGCTGAGGGGGAAAGATCTCGAAAGCTTTTGAACTTCAGTGAAATGTTTAACAAACCTCTTCCTTTTCATGATAAAGAATACAGTGATTTTTTTCCCTCTGACCCAACCCTCCACTCCATGTTTTAAAACTAGAAAAGACCTCTTTCACTGTAAATTTAAAAGACAAAATAAAATTAATATATTTGCACAGCTAAGCTTTTCCCCTTCCTACCTGTTTTCCTAGTTTGCTACACCCACGCTGTCTAAGCTAACCTTATTCAACAACAAAGCCAAAGTTTTATGTAGAGTTTATGAAGTTTTTTTTTTCAAGATAATCACAAAACAGGCTCTAATAGAGAAAGAAGAGCCTAAGATTTAATTCTATTTGCTGTCTCATATTTTTTCCTCTATTTATTAATTCAACCTGCTAAGCTCTTCTCACAGTCATTGTAGTACACCAGAACTACAAAAATGGATATGACCAGGTCCCAGTTCTCCAGGAGTTTATATCTCAGAGGGGCCTTGTATATATAAACAAGTAATTGTAACATAAGAATAAGATAAATCTATAAAAACCATGCTATTGACTATATAATTTTATTAGTCTTTTGTAAGGATGAGAATGTCTCTCATTAGAAAAGAGTTTAATGAAGATTGAAATCTGCTGCTTATTATTTATTCAAAAATGTTTATTTTAAATTTTGAGATAATTTAAAATAAAATGTGAACACATTTCTGTGGCATTCCACACATTATAATAGAGGGAATGGCTCCTCAGTTTAGTTGAGCTAATATTTAGTGACTAGCCTTCTGTGCCAGGCATTCCATTAATTATTGAGGATGCAAAAATGAAGAGACAAATGTTTCTATCCTCAAGAAGCTGAATAATGAGTGGTATGTTAATGAATATTTATATCAATGCAATAATAGAAATATGTGCAAAGTCCAGAAACAGCGTACAGGAAAGGGTGACCGATTCAACTGGGAAGTGCTTAGGGAAGGACTCACAGAAACGATGCCTGACAGACTTTTGGATGATGTATAGACCGTTGTTGGGTGGACAAGTGAGGAGAGCTATCTGAAGAGGAAACAGCATATGCAAAGGCCCAGTTGGGAGGATGCCTAGAAAAAGATTTACACTAATATTTTACCTTCAGTGAATGTTCATGGGAAGTATCTAGTAAAACAATAACTATAACTTGTAAACATGAACTATTCAGACAAACATCAAAGAACAGTATAAAATCAAATTTAAAAACATCCTATCTAATAATAGAGAAACATGGTAATTAGCCGTAACTTCGCTACCCTTCCCATTGGCTAATCAGTGAGATATGCAAATTAACTGCCAGCCAAGATGGCGGCTGGCAGCCAGGCAGCTGAAGCGGAACATGAGGCTTGCTTGCTCCAGTGACGGAGGAAGCCA